CTGGGAGTGGATTATGAGTCCTCTCTCTCTCTCTCTCTCTCTCTCTTCGGCGAAGATTAGGCTGCTCGTGGGGGGCAAAATATCGTGTGTGGAGGGTATTTACGAGGAGGTCGCGCGCGAGCCGAGTTATCCACGAAAGTCAGGTTACGGCACGGCTCCCTCCCTCCCTTCCTCCCCGCCCTAGCTTGTTATCTTATTGTATTGTTAGTACGCCGCGATGCGCCGTCTTGGAGCAGGTTTTCTCCCCCTTTACCTTCGCGCCCTCCTCCCTTTCGCGATGGCTCCCTTCTTGCTTTGTCATCGCCTTGCCGCTTCTTCTCCTCGCCGCTCACCTCTCTCTCCCTGCCCCCCCCTGCTTCTCCTCCCTCCCTGGTCCACTCGACCCTTTCCTCTTGCGCAGCGCTCGCCTCGCTACCAAACTGCGTCTTTCGAGGTTTAAACTCGTAGGGTTTATTGCGTACCTATGAACGTTTAATTAAAAAAAAAAAAAAAATCTCTTTTCTCTCGTTCGATGAAACGAGTATTTCCATTTCTGGAGGGAAAAGGGAAAAAAAGAAAAAAGAGGATCTTCCGTTTTTCTTCTTCTTTTTTTTTTTTTTTTCTTCCTCTCCCCCTCTTAATTTATTTCCTCCTCCCCCAACGTGATGCTCGTTTTCAAACTTTTACTCCAACGACTCTACTCGAGAATTTTCGCGTCGTATAATATTTTATGCAAACAGTTTAAAGGGAAGTAGGAAACAGATGATCAGATAGGTAGGATAAGTAGACACACGGAGAAAGGAAGAGGAGGGGGAGGAGGAGAGAGATAGGTGCGCTTTCGCGGTATGTGCGCGCGTGTAGGGCTGGGAAACGAGATGGACACGCGTTGCCCAAGAGAACGAGAGGAGACGAACTGTCTTCATTATGCTAATGCCGTGCAAGTACAGCTGACCGTGGCCAAAAATAGATGTAGATATCGTGGGATGCTGAGTCGAACCTCGAGGGGGTTTTTATCCTCTCTCTCTCTCTCTCTCTCTCTCTCTCTCTCTCTCTCTCTCTCCATTCGGCGCGGCGTTACGCTTGTTTCTCGATTCGGAAGATTCCCTTCCGCGGAATGAAATGGTTCCGAGGGGTTGAAGATCGAATCGCTCTCTTCCTATTCCTACTTTACACCGTTGAAAATTTTCCTTTTTTCCCTTTTTCCACCCCTCCTATCCAACCTGGATCCTACTCTCTTCCTTTTTTTTTTTTTTTTTTTTTTTGTGTGTAAAAAGCCGCGCTCATTAGCTTCACCTTTGCCAGGGGCACAATGGTTCAGAGGGAAAGTTTCCTTTTCAAAAAACCAATGACTGGTTACGTAACGATGCTTGTTCTTTCATGGACGCTGTCAAAACCACTGGTCAGGGTCGTTAAATCGTTCACTTTCCGATTTAACGATGTTTGCGTTGTTGGATGGAGACGAACTTCGTTCGAAAAATATTGTTGATCGATTTTTTAAAAAGTAAATCGATATATACTTGGAGAAAATATTTACATATATATATATATATATATTTTATTCATTCGTGTCTTTCATTCAATTAATCTAATTATTTCTGAGCAAGTTTAATGCTAGAAGAATTAGGAACGTGAATTGAGACACTGTGTGTCTCTCTTCGTGTTATTTTTTCTGGGAATATCTGGGATTAATCTCTTTTTATCGCGTTACAAACCGAAATTGCACTTGTTTATTGACTCGTCTAAAATTAGCTGACACCGTGTTCGCAATAGACCGAACCGCATTTCCGTTTTACATCCCGTTTACGTGGTTTGTGGTTACGTTGATACCGTTGTTACCGGAGGAAACGCGTGGCAGCATTAACAATCTTCCTTCGTTATCTTTTCGTTAAATTGTGAGGAGGTTGGGCGATATTACACCGTCCAGTATCCATAAAACAATACACACTGTAAAAGCGTTGCAATGGCCAGCATGTGTACATTAACGCGAAACCGAATCACGCTCGTATACGCGGATAGTAGCGATGAAACGGCCACTCGTACGGCTCGCCGTCTTCCTACCCTCCTAAAACGCCAAGGAAAAAGAAATAATTCCCGAGACTTTAACGGTGTTGTTTTTTTGTGACATTTTATCCTTCGTGGATACTTGGAATATTTCACAAAAGTTATATACAATCGGATATTCAAATAAATTTTGTCGCGTGATGGTACCTCAAATGGGGTACCCCTCGTATTTCCGGTAACGCGGTGTGTCAGTTGGAGAGAAGAGAAGCGACGGATACGGGCGGGATGAAAAAGATGGCAGCGGACTGGTTGTAAAAGGGAAAAAAAAAAAAAAAGAAAAAAAGGAGGAGAAGCTAGAGTAATGTAGCGAGTCAGCAGTTTTTGTTAAAAATTTATTCGGTTCAGTTTCATGAGAAATATCACCTCGTACCCCCTCGACGTTCCGTATCACACCTCAGCGGCTGCCACGGATCCCGCTCACAGCCTCTGCGTTCCACAACCCACCCTCCGTTCGAGCGCGTTCTTCTATCTCTTCTCTTTCTTACTTTTATGTACACGTATACCTGACTTGGTACGATATATACCGCCGTTGGAACAGGCTATTCATTTTTCAACGCTACGGAATTATTCGATACGCGTTGCTCGCCTCTGGAACCATTTCGACAGGATTAAACATGGATAACTGTGCTATCGAAAAATTACGTTCGAGGGAACGTCGATTTTCGATCGACGAGTTTCACCAATAATAGAATTGGTGCATTGTTGTTTTTTATTGAGAACCAAAGGATATTAAGATAACGTGTTTCGACGCAACACGTTAAATTTCGTGATTTTGGAAACGGAAAGTATATTTATGTACGTGTAGGTAGCAGAATGCTCGGCTTATCAGAGGCAGCGAGGCGAGAATGGTGCGCTTCCGTTTCCGTCGTTGGTATCGAGAATCCCTGAAGAAAGAGTTTCGAATCGAAGGTACTTTCAACCAGTTTGAAAAAGTTCGTCGACATTTTCATTCAGTGCTATAACGATGGTAATAATTTTAATATCATTTTTCTCGCGTGATAATTTTAAATCGTAAATCGTATCGATTTGAATGTGTTAGAACGTGTTTTAAAAAATGCAAGTAAAAATTCGTGTTATGCGTGCAGTTGCAGGTTCCTTTTCGTCAACGAGATCGATGAATCAAAATATAAAATAAAAATGAATGAAAAAACGAATAGTAACAATAGATCGTGATAAGTTTGTATACGTAGAGTATATGTATGTATACAATGTACGGGCGGAGATATTCGTGCAAACGATATGCACGGTCCTTCTGTATCAGACACCGGGATCTTTTCCCGCTGCGAACCGTAGCACACAGAGGCCATCGGCGTCGGTATAAAGAATTTTCTACGGATCTCATTCGTTGCCTCCCTCGCACACTGTCACTTTACCCCCTTCTCTTCTGTACGCCAGGGGAACGAGATTAAGCAGGTGTACAGTACGAGCCAGAAGTTCCTTCACCTTTCTTTTCGTCTCGAAAGTCCGTTTAACTTGTTCAGTGTATTTGTATGTAGCGCCAATGTGAAATCAAGCGTGACGTGTGTGAAAGTATTCTTTATCGAGATGATGTTGGTGTTGAATCGCTACGTGGAAATTCTGGAATTCGAGAAAAAAATTGACCGTGCATCATCTTCCATCATTATAGTTTTTCGCGGACACATCGATCTTCTGTATATTATATATTATGTATATTATATTTATACGTGTATTATGCCGGTACAAATAATACGCAGTGATCCAAGTTTATCGTGTCTAAGGATCTTTACTCGTTACGCGTCATGGCATATGCAAAGATCGTTGGTATCGAATATAAAGAATTTTCCTTCAGATCTCGCTACCCCTTACGTCCTTCTTTCTCTTGCTCTGCCTTTTTTCTTGCGCACGAGCGCATAGAGAAACAAGATTACGCCGATGTATAGTACACGCGTTTGCAAGTTCTGTTTCGTAGAGGCAGGAACGAGAAGAGCCGAGCAAAGAAAAAGCAAGAAAGAGAGATTGACTAACCCTCTTCTACCCGCGGCGAGCGTGATAGTGAGCGGGCGATGCGCGACCAAACCTAACCTAACTCCATTGCCGGTTCTCCAGCAGGGTAAGCAGGCTGGGTCGTCAGGCGACACGAGAAAGAAAGAGATGGACTAATGAAGAGTGTGGGTGGTGGGGACTAGATCGGCGCATGCGCGCCAACGACGCTTATTGAGCCATGGAGAGGGGCGGTTGGTGCCTCATCGTCGGCGGCGGTGGCGGCGGCGACGGCGGCAGCGGTGGTGGCGGTGACGGCGACGTGGCATGGTATACGGCCGCATGGGTGCAGCGAGGGGCGAGACGGGTAGCTCATATTATGCGGGGGAAGGGATCCTGGCTCCTCGTAGTCGGGAAAAGGAGAGAAAAGGAAGATAAACGGTGGTCGAATAAAGATAGAAGAAGGGTAAAGAGAGCGAGAGAGAGGGAACGAGAAAAAGAGAAAGATGGAAAGGGAGAGCGAGACGGTGTGTGTCACGAAAGTTCGTACGTACGATCAAGTGAGACGGAGTCGGGAGATCTAACGAAGATAGGGTGAGAATGATAAAGCGAAGGGAGTACGCGAAGGGGAGCGGGACAGAGAGAGAAAGACAGAAAGAAAGAGAAAGAGAGAGAGAGAGAGAGAGAAAATGAGGGAGTTCGAATTAGTGAGGGTGCATAGTTGTGCGATAGATGGTAGAAGGAGAGGAAACGTAAAGCCGTTGCGTATTAAACGAGGAACGAGAGAGAGATATAAAATGTTAGACGAAGAAGAGAGGAATTGATGGTCGAGTGTGTGAATCGTACAAGACCGTAGGTGTGATTAAGCGAGACAGACGGAGGGGAATGTGAAGGAACGAATGAAATGGTATGAGAAAGCGGCTGGAGAGAAGGAAAGAGAGAGTAGGAGAAATAGATTGGTGTGCGTGTGGTAGGGTGAAGAGTGAGAAAGGTAGAAGGCGGGCAAGTAGTGGAAGAGAAGTGGTGGGACAAGTGAGGTGGGGGCGAAAGGGGAACGGCAGAGGGGAGGGGGAGGGGTGAGGGGGCGCTGGCATCGGACAGTCGGTGTCGCGCCAGGCCCCCGCTAGCGGCTAGCCAAGCAAGCAGCAAGCAGTCGCAATCCCGTCGCCTAACCAGCATTGCTCGCCTTACCTTTTCACCCTCTTATAAAATCGTCAGCTGCATATATTTGCCCCGTTTCATCAGCCGGTCCCTCCGACGTCGTTCGTCGTTGTTCGTCGTCGCCATTGCTGCCGCCACCGCCGCCGTCGCCGCTGCTGCTACTGCCGTCGTCATCGTCGCACACGCAGTACGTCGTCGTTATTGCTCTTGCAATCGTCGTCTAGTCGCGCGTGGTTTTTAGCAGCGGATGTATTGAAGGGAAAGCGCGAGCGAACATAAAAACGGAATTCTTGTGATCGAGTAAACTGATTATGAGTTGGAACAGTGCAGCAGTTGAGCACACATCCGGGCCAGCGTTGTTAAAGTGAGAACAAGTTTTCGTGGTTTTCTTCGTGTGTCGCGATCCGGCTGATCGACCGGAACTGTAAAGTGAGAGTAATAAAAGGAAAAGTATATTTTTCGCCGTTTCTCGTTAGTGAGAAAGAGAGCAAGTGCAGCGTCCAAAGGAAACGGCTATTAAAGCGAAGCTCGTATGTCACACGTTGAAAGAACAAGCCGTGTCATCGTTGAAATAAGTGCTGACAAATAAGATATATATGTACTTTTGTGTGTTGTTCGTTACTACAGTGAGAAGTTGCAAGCTCCAAAGAAGCAGCGAAGTCTCACCGACCGCCTAACCTGTCACGGTGACCGACATCACGGCGAGATCGCGGCTGATACCTCCGCGTGTTCCGGCGCAAGGTAGTACAGAGCTCTCTATTTTACGATACATATGTATGTGTACGTGTACATCTATATATGTTCGTATACGTGCAGCTATAGAGCAATAAGTCGTACACGCCATTGCCCGCGCGTGGGCGCTGTGCTGTATGCATTTGGACATATATTATGGTTTACCTCGTCATACCGATGACGTCATCGTTTCCGTAATTGCGTTTTTTACGCCGTTGCAGAAACGATGATGTACCATTTTATTTGTTTATGCTGTTCACGAGCTACTTAGATTATTTTACGAAACTCATTTTACATATTTTTCACTCGGATGTTCATTCCGCTTATCGCGTGTCGTTGACTCATTTGAATTGTCGCCACATTTTTACGTTTCTGTTCGGTAGCAGACTTATCGTTGTTCCATATTGCACGCGATTTTGTTCACCATACGGTAACCAAGGTTGTCATAAGAAACATAACCTTCGAATCGTAGGTATGTCTGTCATTATTAAAATTGTTGATCTTAATGCGCGCGTGTTATCGTTGTTTTCTTCGTTACCACCGCAACGCAGAAAAAAACGCGCGCAAATACATTACTGCGGTTCTTGAATTTGCACATGAAATTATTGACATCTTGACCTGTCACGTTTTCGTTTCTACACGAACCTTTCATTGAGAATCGTTGTAAAGTTCCATTGTAAGTGTCACACAAAACCCACGTATTAAACCCGTGTAACGCACGTTACGTGTGCAAATATCCGACAACCGATTAACCACGTGTCATTAAATTCTCCTTTCTTCACGCGGTACAAGAGTCGTTAACGTGACGCTTTTTATCGCGTATTTTACTCCATTTCGATAATACCATCTCTACTTTTTTCTTAATATTATTTTACATTATTCCATAGTTTCGAATTTTATATTCAACCGGTTTCGTCGTGAAAGTTGTGTATAATTTAATGACTCGCTCGCTGTTTGCGATCCACGGCAAAAGTGCCCGACGATATAATTCTCGTGAAGTTTTCCTTCCACGGGTAAAAATACCGTGGATGTAGACAGGTCTGAAGCTTGGTATGCCTCTAGGGCTCGTGGTTACTGATGTAGATGCATCACCTGTACCGGGCACGTTCCTAAAACAAGATAATATGATGCGTGAGAAGAGCACTCGCGAAACTCGTTACTTTAGAGTGTCTAGTTGGTGGCTGTGATAAATATCGTGACTTCTATTTTTTTCACAAATGGTAGAATAACGTTTCACTATTTTCCACAGATTCTTTATCGTAATGTACACATTCATTTCCCATTGAAATTCTTTTTTTTGAACATATTATGGATTGTTTTTTGACAAGCATGGACTACCAATCAAGCAAATACGTATTTTATTTTTCGTTAATAATATAAATATCTTGATGATTAAATTGATCAATATAATACTTAATGATTAGGAAGATAGTGGATTATATTTTTATAAATAAAAATATAGTTCTCTGATATAAATATTATTTATGACGTATTTTTTCAACTGTGCAAGAGACAGATTTTTCGATCATTTCGCGTTCCAATATGAATATATATGCGAGTTATTTGTAGTTTTGATTTTTTTTTTCGGAATAAATATTAGAAACGTTTGAAAATCATAAATATTTTAAAATATTACATAAAGATTTAGTTTTTTCATAAAAATAATTATAATAAGAAATAATTATATTTTGCAATTAAATTGCGCTTACATTGAACATAAATCTGAAATAAAACTTAAAATTTAATATTAATAAATTTAATAAATTTAGAAATATATTTCTAAATTACTATATTTTATTTCGATCGATAACAAATCAAAATACAAAGTTATAAATGTATATTTTGTTAAGAATTTTTTAAAAATATTTGTCAAAATATTTCTGTAATAATCTTGTTGAAAATTGAAAAGCTCGAAAAAAAATCAATATATCTATATCTTATCATCATTTTTCTTTTATCTATTTTCCAACGATTCCTAATTAATGGAGATAAATATTATTTTTATATACACAATGAAAGATTAATTTCTACATGCTTGTGAATATTGAACGAATTGATGCGAAATACATCCTACACGTATCGGTGTACGAACTCTACGCATCAAATTACAGTACCTTTGTGGGCGTGTCCCACTAACATTCCGACCTCGGTGTCTTTTATCCTATTCAATCTTACATTAGTATAGTACATACTCCGAACCCTTTTTAAAACACGGCGTCCTTGTTTATAGCGATCACAGGAAGTCACACCTATGACGGTACTGTATAGACCGCGTGCATGCCGGAAGTATTGTTGAAGATTGAAATAAAGAGACGAGTAATAATAGAATGCGAATTATTCCAAAATTTATCTTTGGGATAATTGTTTTTTTGCGTTCGCGATTCTTGTTCGCGTGTATATTAAGATTAGATCTGTTTGATCGAATAATGGAGAAATGTTGCTTGCTTGTTTGATGATTTGATTAAAATTGAAATTAAAATTGGATAGAACTCGTTTCAATTAATGATGCTAATTGAATACGTTGGAGTTCATTTTTAACTCTCTTGTACAATGATTAGGATTAACTAATAATGTTAATGCATTGAGCTACAATTTATAGGTTATAGATACGTTTTTAAGGATTTTAGTTAACAAGTTACAATATATACTTAAAGTTTAGTGATTTAATACTAATATTACTGGCAAGTGTATTTTTCTCATTTACTTGCAATAATCTAATAGCTATGAGATTGAAACTTCTGTATCGTTGTTTTGAAGTATCTTGACAGTTGAATTGCTATTTTTGTTAGCATAGGAATTTTATCTTCATTATGTCTCTATTATCTCTGCTGTGCATGGTGATTATAGAACGGTAAATATAAGCTTGAGAAAATTTACACCACACAAATGTATGAATTACATAAAATTTAATTTATTTTTGCCATTTTCGCAATTATAAACATGTTATCTACATGTTGAATAAAATGTGTTATCTATCTATATTATCTATTCTGCGCCGTTGCTTTTCAAGATAGTTTCATTTTTTTTTCTATATCATGAAAATTGATATCTTATATTTCAAAGATGATACTATGAATGAATTTTATTATTGTAAAAGGAAATCTTCAATGCATGTGTTATAAAAATAGAAATGTTAAACTCGGTATTTTGAACCGTTTAAACAATTTTCATCCGGCAATTATTCGAATTCAGTGTTGAATTAGGAAACATCAACGTGAGTAATTCTTCTATAATCGGTAGGAATTATCCCATGACATCATCGTCTTTGATCACGGAATAGATATAGCGAGCGAAATAAAGAGATAGAATGAGGGGAAGAGAGAGAGAGAGAGAGAGAGAGAGAGAGAGAGAGGGAGAGAGAGAGAGAGGGAGAGGGAGAGGGAGAGAGAGAGAGAAGCTTGTGTTATGGACTGCATGACGTAACCGAGTCGAAATTATCTTGGTTAATAGTGTGTCAGAAGTTCTAGTTTCCCGCGAGCCGTCCAGCTTCGTGTGTTTCCACGTTTTTGTCACGCTTTTACGGTAAAACCGTTCCCGAAAATAAAACACACAGAAATTGTGTATAGAGTTACAAACGCGGTAGGGATCCCCGGCGAAGAACTTCTATTTATACCATTTCGTGTTGGTTGGGTGCCAACAGAAATCACATTTATATCAAATGTCGTTAATTTACAATCCTCGCAAAACATCCGCGGGCGAATTTTCGCTGGTCGTGCCGGCAGGATCGCGGCCGGCCCTCGAAGTCGTAAATCGTTTCACAGATCGTCCGACTGGTTACACGCGACGCCACGCCAGATATATGTGCTTCTAATCGCGGTATTTCTGCCTCCGTGTCGTCGCGCGACTCTTCTAGGACAACATAATCACCACGATGTCCGCGGTCGGTATGGGAAACTTATCGACGCGTGGGGCCGATCGATAACTCGAGAAGGCCATCTAGATTACGAACCTCGACGAAACTTCGTTTCCACGTACATGTATATAACCACGGGATAGAAATGCTCGCGCACCAGTTGCATCCGTGTGAACGTGGAAAGCGTACGAAAAAGAGGCGCGCTGTATTGTAGGATTGCCGTTGTGTCGCGTCGCATAGCGTAGTCGTGTGACGGAGCGAGAGTGAAGAGATATGAAAGCAGATACGTGGCCGGTGTATACGTTGCTGGCTTATTAGAAGCTCATCAAAGAAAGTTGATGGGGAGGGAGCAGGAAGAGGTAGTGGCGCGCACAGGGGACACACTTGCGAACGACAACGCAATCCGTGAGACGCGTCGTTGCGTTACGTTGAAGGACAGGCGAGCCGTCGAGGCTGAAAGCACAAAGGAGCAACGAGTGTATACACACAGTGTGTATATAACGTGTTGGCAACGTTAACGATGAGAAAGAGAAAGGGAGAGAAAGCTCGAAGCCTTAAGGACGATTCTGGTGTCTGTCCCTGAACATTTCTGGGCATCGTGTACGTGTGTAGGCGGGGTGGGTGTGCCTCGTTTTAATTTTAGTCCCGTGACAGGCTACTCTCGCGAGGGAGAGATAGGTGGCGTTGACCCGCCAACGTAACCTACAAATATTTCTCTCTTTCTCCCGTCATCGCGCCCGCTCTCTGTCGTTGTATCCCGCTCTCTCCGGACCACTAGCGCGCATATGCCTCGAGCGATACATCAACGAAAATCCACGGGTGTTCTTATGTTCCCCTTTTTTGGACGCTTGAACGAACTTATAGTCTTACAACATTCCCTTTCTCTCTCTTTTCATCCGGATCTTTTATATATATTCCGTCTCCCCGTCTTCGTTCCTCTTTTTCCTCGTGGCTGACCTATCTCTTCGCGTTACGCGTAGACCGATCGAAAAATTGCATCTTATGGAGACACATTTTTATTTCACGTTCGGAAGGTATCTATTTTATTTTTAAAATCTTGTGAAAAATAGTTCTATAAGATGTTCTTTTCCTTATAACATAGTAAAATTGGTTTCTCGCGTGAAAAATTCATATAGCTAGATATCTATCGCTTACA